TCTCTCTCTCCTTCAATCCATAAATGAAAAGTAAGACTGAAGTACAACAATACATAGGGGTAGAAACGGAATTCCCTTTAAACCTGGATTCCATAAATAAAAACACCGGATTTATTCTAGTTCTAAAAATCGACATTTTCTACTAGTTCATTGAGAAATGCTCAGTGCCTCAGTGACCCCTTTAAAGTTTAAACATTGATTTCTATTAATTAGCAGTATATCCTTTGCACCACCCTCTGTGCCAACAAATTTTCAATCTTGTAAGAAAATTCACCTTAAAACACAATGAATGAGTTCAAGAACAACCAAAACTAGACTGTAACTTGACCTGCATAGGCGCATAGCTCTGTAATCTGTACACAGTTTTAAGGGCTATCACTGCAAAATGTAGCTTGAACATGCAAGATAACTTTCTACGGGTTTTTGTGTATCTTCAAATTTAAATACCACCCAAAAAAAGTAAAGTATCATACAGTATGTTGTTTCTGAAGATCAGGTACATGGCATGAGAATTTCTCTCTCAAAAAGATTCACGCCTTTTTTAAGAAAACAAAATTACATCATAATCCAGCAACTTCCTTCTGCGCATTCATGTGAACTTTGGCAGGTGATTACTTATTCATGATTTGGAAGGAACAAAAGGATAGTCTTCAATCAAGTCAAGTGATCCTATCACCTTGCCTTGGCTTCTTCAAGCTAGAACCATCGTCTTCCAAGGCTTTCAGTTTGTTCTTTATTGCTGCTATCTTAGCACTTCGACTCATCTGTCCTGATGAATTACCCACAAAACTTGATTTGTTTCCATCACTAACAGTCTTCGATGGATTAGCTTCTGATTCGGGCAAGTACTTCTCACTAGCAAAGCGAACAACCAACGGTCGTCCACAAGCCAACTTTCCATGCATCTTCTCCTTGGCTAGTTTAGCTTCCTACATGCTTACTTCAATGGAAGAAATAAGATATTGGTTGAGAATAAGAAGTTTAGATCAAAAGAATTGAATTACCTCTTTAGTATTAAACTGGATAAATGCAAAACCGCGTGGTTCTCCACGTTTTGGCCCACGAGTGTGCCACAAGAAATCTTCAGAGACTATCTTGCCAAAGGGAGAAAACATCTTGATCAAGACAGCCCTGATATAAGAAAGTTTTGTAATCAATAATAGATGAAACAACCATTTACAACTAAAACAAATTTCCCTGATTGAATTATATATTGCTTACTCTGTTATTCTGTGATCAAGGTTACCAATGTAGAGTCTTCTATCACTCTTGTCATCAACCAGACTGTCAGAGTCCTGCATATCATACAAAAAATGAGATTGGCATTGGCTCATTGCTACAAAACACTGAGAAATATCTGCAGCAACTTGACACAAAATGGCAGAGACTAATTTTCAAAATATATAGTTTCTAACAACGATAAACACTCAATATAAAAGAAGGTCATCGAAATGGGGTGAGGACCATGATATTGTAAAGGAGTATATAATTCTGTCTAGTGTCAGTGATGATTCATGCCAGCTCGCATTACAAGAGTATAAATTTC